AGCTATTGCCTTGACTGTACAGTAGAGTCCTCTCTCAAAATAGAATCAAATCAGCAATATGCAACCACAGAATAGTGCCATTACGTAAGGAATAGAAAATAAAATAAATATGGCCTTCTATTACAAACACCTGAGGCAAATCTGAAGTAATGTTTTAAATCCCTTCTCCTTTATACATTTTAAAAAATTTCTAAGATAATCGTTATTTTTATACTCCAAAAAATATATATATGGAAATAGACTATTTCTCTGGAGCCACAGTAGAGATCAAGTCTTAGAATTAGAATGAAGGGCAAATCCTGCTGGCTGAGTTAAGAATGTGTCTATTCAGAGATTGGATTGGTGCTTAACAGAGGCGAAGGAGGGAAGGAGGAGGGAGAAAGGGATAATTCGGCACATGTGTGTGGTGATGGGTTGTAATTAGTATTTGGGTGGTGAACATGATGTAATCTATGCAGAAATAGAAGTACAATGATGTACACCTGAAATTATACAATGTTATAAACCAATGTTACTGCAATAAACAAAAAATTTAAAAAAAAAAGAATGTGTCTATTCACCTTTCTTTCTTAGACAGCTGTGCTCCAGAATAAGGTCATCTATTTCTCTTCCCTTGCTCCAGGACCAGTTCATTCATATTCATATTCATTTATTTTTTCATTCCATCTACCTGTCAATCTTTTCTGAAAGTCTTCCATGTGTCACAGCCTAAGTGGTAGTTTTCCTGTCTGTATATGTTCTTCAGAAATCCACTTGATTGGATTTAATATCTAAGCTGGCCTCATCCCTTGGAAAAGTCTCTTCTAGAGTGGGATATTGCTTATATCAACATGCACTGGAATTAAACCCAGAGAAATAAAATGTTGATGGGATGGGATGATAGGGTTTAGGGTGAATATTTTTTCCTTGATTTACGTATATTATATCATGAAAAAGAAACCTTAACCTTATTCAGAATGCTTCCATTTTTAATCCCAAGAATTACACTGAATGACAAAAACCACCATCTTCTTTTAATATCCCAGGAAGATACACTGCTTAAAATCAGATGGTTTAAGGATGCCTTACCAAGTTTCTTCCTGCGGCTGTGGTAGGCGACTCTTTAAAAAAAGTCTTAAAAAAAAAATCATCCTGATCTTACTCTTGGGGTAGGACTTTGGAGACTCAATCCATCAGATGTTCTTTTGCCAGAATGGTCCCAAAGCCAATTCTTGAGGGAAATGCTGACTCAGCTTTAGGAATTCCTAACTTTGCTTTTAGGTACAGGTGGGATGCTAGGTCTACCAGTGAGGTCAAAATCTGTGATCAGCTCCTTAATTTCTGTATTAGGAATCAACCTCACTTCATAAACCTTTACTTGATTGGTCCCTGTAAACTGCAGGTCCATATTTAAGCAGCAACTCAGAATAGGAACACTCTAGGCCATCTTCAGAGTACGTAGCCTCAAAAGATCAGCCCCTCCTCTTCTTTCAACTGCTAGCTTAGATAATTAATACTTATGGAAGATGATTTGAAGGACATCTGTCTCTCCCCTCTTCCAACTACTCTGAATTCTTTCTTTCTATCAAGTTGAGTACCAAAAACCTATACTGCCTCAGTCTATCACAGAATTGCTATCACTGAGTTGGCTTTTTAATATTATGCCTCTGGGTTAAAGTTGCTATAAGAAATTGCAATTTTAAAAAATGTGGTCAAAGACATTGTCTAATAAAATCTCCTTTGTAAAATATCCTTGGGATTCAATTTTGGAATAGCTCTGCTTTGCCCTAGGACCTGGTATGCTGGGCATAATGAAAATTATGTATCTGATTATGTCTTATTTTTCTCCTTGGCTACTAGGAAGCTCAGAGCTAAATACACACACACATATACACATGTAAATGAATAAATTTTTAATGTTCTTTAATTCCAGTTCCCTACTGAATTTGTTTATGCCCTTTCTTGTTTATATAAATGATACAATGTGATCTTCAAAAAAATTCCTAAATGATCTCATAAGTAATTCCCCACAGATATTCCCTCTTCCTTTTCAATGTTTCTAATTTGCCTAAAAATTGGATTCTGTCTAGCAACCAAGGCCACAGTGTAGCCAAACTGACGAAAGTATTGACAGTTTTTAATACTCTATTTACAAACTAAGAATTAGATCATCAATGCTGTATGCAATTGAGGCAAAAATTCCCTCCCTGCAAATTCTCTGTAGCTTGAGAATACCCAGGCTAACTGGTCTTGGAAATGATGGGAATGCAACTGGATTTTTGTGTTACAAATAGGTATGCTTCAAAATGTAGGACTTGGCAATGGGAACTTCCTGCAGGAATGACAGCCTAGAATGAGAACTCTCAAGAAGAAGTAACCTTTTTAAGGGCCCACCTGGTACTAGGGTATGTTAGCTTTTTGCTATTTGCAATGATGTGCTGGAGCTGGCTCTTACCCACTCACCAGAGCCAATTGTTAAAACTTTAGGATTTTTGTGAGCCAGTTGATGTCATGTTGATAGCTTAAAATAGGCCATAGTGGGAGTACTTGTTCCATGCAAGTTGGCAAATGCCACAAGTCAGCCCCTCCATCCCCAGAGAGCTGGTTGTTAGAAATTTACCAGTCTACCACTGCTTGTCTGGCTTATTGCTCACAACTGCCAATGAGATAGTTATCTGTCCTCATTTGATAGATGAGGAAACAGACAAAAAAAATCTTTAGGCTTTAGGAAGAAATTACAGAGGCGACAAACATCTGGAACAGAAAGAAACTGCCAAAGCAGGAATAAGTACAGGTACAATGCTGACCCTAAGGGCTATATTCAGAGAAGAAAGATTCTATTCAGAGGAAGGTAATGAGGTAATCTAAAGAGATTGCCAAATTGAGATTCAGAAGGCTGCAAGAACAATTTCAATGAGGGACTAAGGGACCAAACAGAAAAGCCTCCAGGGGGAGCTCAAGTCTCCTCCACCATTTTCCTACTCCTCCTCTCCCTATCTTGGTTGGAGGAATCACATTCCAAGGCAAGAAATTCCACCACCACCACCACCATCCCGTCCCCCAAGTAAGAAGGGTTTGCTCAAGCTTGAAGACAAGAATCGAGCCATGTTTCCCAGGAGGCAAAGCTTTCAGAGAAATCTTAAAAAGTCAACACACAAGAGTATATTCTTTTCCCTTCAGCTGTACTTCTTAGCAATGACTGGAATGGAAAGGGCCCTTGGCTGTCCCAGCATCCCTGTCCACCTTCCTCCCTTTTGTGACCTTCCTCCCTTCCTCCTTTCTCTTCCAGAAGCTGGATTCAAGATAAGGGTCTTGGCCCCAAAAAGCCCAAGATGGGCAGCCAGTGCCAGCCCAGCTATATAGCATCCAGGTGAAGTTCTAGTTTGTTCCAAAGCCAACTAATAACCAAATATTACTCTGCTAATCATTGTCCTGTATTTCCCTCAGGAACCTTGAGGGGAAGGGGAACTGTGGGCTGGGCCATGGTTAAGGTAAGCCTTGATCCACAGTACTACCCTTTGTTGTTTTCCCAGGTGCCAAGGGAATGAAGAGCTTATATCGTTCACAAGTGGCAGAGCCAAGATTTAAACCAGGTATGATTACTACAGGGCCTGTGCTCTCTCAAGAGAGCTCTTTCTGTGACATTAGGCTGAGGCAGAAGACCTTGGGAGAAACTCTCCTGCTGGTGTCCTGGAGGGTAGTTGAACCTCCTTCCTCACATGCTGATCTGTTTTCTGAAAATAGGAGAAAGAGTGTGAAGGCAGACAAAAGCCCTCATTTCTTTGAATGATATCTTAAGGGGTTAAGTGAGATAATGTATATATAGTGCTTAATCAATAATTGGCACTTGATTGATGGTAGCTAACTTTGCAACATCCTACTAAACTATGATTACAATAATGCTTGATCTCCAGGACCAAAATATGAAATTTGAATAATGAGTAGATTAAGGGGAACCTCTTCTAACTCTGGTCAGATATTTTATCTTAATCTAGAGTAATTAAGAAAACAAAGGGGGCCGGCCCAGTGGCGTGGCAGTTAAGTTCACGCGCTCCACTTCGGTGGCCTGAGGTTTGCCGGTTCGGATCGTAAGTGCAGACATATGCACCACTCATCAAGCCGTGGTGAGGTGGCATCCCACATAAAGCAACTAGAAGGATATACAACTATGACATACAACTACCTACTGTGGCTTTGGGAAGAAAAAAGGAAAAAAGGAGAAAGACTGGCAACAGATGTTAGCTCAGGGCCAACCTTCCTCAAAAAAAAAAAATTAAAAATAGAGGATATTTAAAAAAAAAGAAAACAGAATTTGGAGTTGGGATTCAAATAGTCAAAATGTAAATATCTTCAATGTTTCCTGGGATTTCCTGAGTTTCTACTTCCTAAATGTCTTTATAGAGGAAAATCCTCAGCAGAGACATCTAATTGCTACTTCTTCTTCTGACATCTGAGAAGCCACCTGTGGCAGATCCTAATGGGTGCCTACCCAACAGTCAGCCCCCTTCTTCTGACTCACAGATTTCTGATTTTACCCAGGTAGAGGAAGGCAATGTGCTCAGGAAAGACTCCCCAGTTCCAGGGGATGAACAATGATTAGTCTAAACCAAGCATGGTAATCCATTCCCCTTTATCACAGATTGGCATAGAGGTGTGCATTTCATCAAATTCTGGCCAAAGGCATCTGAAAAGACGTTTGTTAGCCCTTTTGCAAAATTGGAGAGAGATGTATGCAAGAGAAACCTCCTTCTCTCCTGCTTTGGCTTTACACCTGAAGATAGAAAATTAGAGCAGTAGCTGCCATCTTAGCACCACAAGAAGGCCAAGAAGATAATGAAAAAGCTGATCCCAAGTCTTGACATTGTTAAGCTGAAGAACTAACCCTGAATTATCTACCCGAAGACTTATCATCATGTGAGAGAAAAATAAATCCTATTATTTAAACCCTTTGTAGGCATGTATTCTATAACTTGCAGCCAAAATAATCCTAACCAATATACCTTACCATTTCACAAACTTACCCCAAAATCCCCTTTGAGTGGTGGCAAGAAAATCCCATCGAAGGAACATTGGGAGTAAGGGCAGTAACTGTTGTTGAAGAGTTGAAGGATGCTTTGCTGGCATTGTTGATAGTTTCCAGTGCCCTGGATTTGAAACTGATGTAACTGAAGAGTTGTCTCAAATTTCTTGGTGCAGGGGCTCTTGTAAAGGTCACTTACGTTCATTACCTTCGTATATCCAGGATGAAAGCATGGGTCCCTGAGGGTTCCATTTGTACCCTGAATGGAAAAAATCACTTGAAGACATCACGTACAAACGCTTTGGGCACAAAAGTTCCAGTCTGACTTCACTAATGTGTAGGAACTGTACAACATCCCAGCACTCAGCATTAGCATCGGTATGCCCCTCCTCTGCCTTTTTCACTCTCGGGAATAGTCAGATTTGTGTACTAGGCACCAGAAGTAGTATCAGATGTAAATGAACTTTCGCTATTCATAGAAAGCTAATATAGTTAAAGCTGGGCCTGGAGATGCCATTAGTCTGGATTGTTCCTGAGTACTAATCACATAGTCAGAAGCAGATTCACAAGGAAAACTCTCAAGGCTCTCACAACTTTGAACCTGGGGTAGTTCTCCAGGAGTCTGCCCATGCCCCTGTCCCCAGCTCCAAGCAAAAAATCAGAAGCTCCAGGAGCTGGAAGTACCTTAAATCATTTAAGCCAGGCATATCAAAATGCTTTTTAACCCACAACCCACCATGTTCAAGAGAAGAAAAGGGGCTGCTGTGGATCAGAGGCACGTAGTGGAGCCTTGGGGCTCAGTAGGCATCTCTCAGCTGCACCTACCCCCATGGTGGTCATATTGACAGTGCTTCTGAGAACCAGAGAGCGTGCTTTGGAGGGGAGCAGAGAACTGGTTTCCTTTCAGTGGAGACAGGGAACAGCTGGATGTGACATTCTTGCTCTGTGTGTGTTTGTCAGAAGGTGCCCGGTAATTGCATGATTTTGAGTGCGTTTAACTTTTCTTGCCTTCAAAATGCAGAAAGCCTCTGGGGACAAGATTGGAAGTGTTGATTGATAATCTTTGTGTTTTTCCCGAACTGTTTTTCTCCTCCTCTCCAGATTGTTTCTAACAACCCTGTTTTCTGCAGTTTGTCGGAAATGGAGATTAAAAAGTAGTAAAGAATTTATAAATTGCACACACACACCCCCAACAATACACTAGCATGTAATTTTCATTGTCAACCCCACAAGGGTGAGAATTATTTCCTTAGAAACTATTTGAGTCATGTCCTTGGAGGTAGTGCAGTAAACAAACGTAGGAGGTAATGTCTAGAGGGAACGATTCATAGGGGTCTACAAGACGTAGACCTGCCTGAAAAGGTCTGGAAAGTACAGTAACCAACTTCAGACCAATTACTGAAGCAGAAAGAGAAAACAACAGGATGTGGGGGCTGGCAGCCCAGACGTGGGGAGGGCAGGTCTGGATTCCATTACACTTGCCTGAATGTCCTTGGCCAGTTTCTGCATGAGCGCTTGATCCTTCCCATAGCACAAGAAGCTGTGTGTGTACACACTGTAGTTCTTGCCATAGAGGCGAAAGCGCAGAGCATTGTCTGGAGACTCGATACTGTTGTTTTGGGGCACAAAAGTGATTTGTGTAGAGGCTCCCCCAAGGTCTAAAGCTCCATAGGTTTCCTGAGTATGGTCTCTATTTGGCTTCAGGTTGAGCCATCGCAGTTTCTGAAAGAGAGTACAGTCACCAGTGGAAGAAGTCTCTGGATGTCCCCCTTTTTACACTATTTCTTGGACTCAGGGACTTCCTAAGGCAAAGGAGCAGGGACATAGGGGTGACACAAAGCTCACTGGAAGCTCCTCAGTCTGCATCAGACCAACAGCAAGAAAAGAAGGGCTTCAAAGACATAGCTCAGACTGCAGCAACATAGAAGCAGTATAGCCAGTGTTTATGAACGAGGGGCCTGAGGCCCAAAAGACTAAAGTTCAAGTCCACACTTATTTGCTCATTAGCTGTGTGGCCTTGAGCAGAATAATTACCTTGTCTAGGCCTCAATTTGGGGGTCTAAAATGAGAGAACATCTCATATAGTTGTTCTGAAGATGAAGCACATGAAAAGTGCTTAAAACAGCACAAGATGCATAGCACGAGGCAAATATTAGCTATTAGTTTTAATGATAGATTTTTAATTTCCTCCATGTCTACCTATGGCGAAGATATGGCTTCTTTATTCTCTAAAAGTAAAAGTTCTTGTAAGAGAATTATACTTCTGGTGACCCTTGCAAATATGGGGTAAATTAACTTGTTCATTCATCCATCATTCACTCTGGCTAGCGATCCAAGTACTGTCTGAGATAGCAACGGCATTGGCTCCCAGGGGGCCAACTCCATGGGTTCTGTGAGATAATCACCTGAGTGAATTTGCCCAGCAGATAGTTGATAGTAATCCAGCCATAGGCGCCTTCTTCTTGGCCAGTGATGATTCTGGCCCCCTGGAAGTTAAAGGGGTAGCTGCTAAGGCTCTTCGTCACCTCAGTCAGGACCTTGTCTGCCAATGGTGTATTTTCTCTCCTGCACAAAGGAAGAGCTGAGGTTACTGGTTTTGTTTTAATAACTGCAACTACCCATTTTAGCCACAGCTTCCAGTCAGTTCTCCTAGGAAGTGAACCATATCTCACTAAAACAAACAGAGAGATGAAGATCCCCGCACATGGCTGTCTGAGGGGCCCTCCTTTTGGGTGAGGCAGAACTACTCTTTTGGCTGCCTCTCTCCAAATCCAAATCCTTCCAATCCCTGCATAGATTGGTCTTCCTAAAATACCATTTTTGTTGTTGTTCCCTGGCTCCAAAATTATCAAAGTAATTTAAATTACTGTAGTAGTGGCAACCAGGTATTGTTTGATCACCACACCTAGAGCTGATGTGTGCTACATTAGCCATTGCTGGTGGCTCCTAGCTGTTTACATAGCCAGGCTCTGTTTGAGGTTTTTTGTTTTTTTTGTGTGTGTGTGAGGGAGATCAGCCCTGAGCTAACATCCATGCTAATCCTCCTCTTTTTGCTGAGGAAGACCAGCTCTGAGCTAACATCTATTGCCAATCCTCCTCCTTTTTTTCTTCCCCAAAGCCCCAGTAGATAGTTGTACGTCATAGTTGCACATCTTTCTAGTTGCTGTATATGGGATGCAGCCTCAGCATGGCCAGAGAAGCGGTGCGTCGGTGCGTGCCCGGGATCTGAACCCTGGCCACCAGCAGTGGAGCGCGCGCACTTAACTGCTAAGCCACCGGGCCAGCCCTGTTTGAGGTTTTTAATCAGGGCTCTAGTAGACACCAGGCGGCAAATGTCCTGGGACAGATACTCAACCTCCTTTGGTGCCAGGTCAGGAAAAAATCTTCCTCATATTGTGCTTCAGTTCTTGGGTCTATTTGAGAGACCTAAAGAAGGAGCCTTCCAAAGTTTTCATAATAAAGATGGGATGCAATTGCTTCCAAGATGTAGGCTAGGCAACAGTGAGAGCCTCTGTCAGAGGCTGCTGCCTTCCAACTGACATTAGACCCCTGTAATCTCTCATCAGAATGGCTTCCATACCCTCTCAACTGGCCCCCTTATCCCTAGTTTCCCCCCCTCCAGTCTACCTTCTTTACCAGTGTCACCAGTTGGGTAACACCCTTTAGTGGTTTCCCATTATCTCCCAGATAAACTCCACTCCCTAGCGTGGCCCACAAGGCACTTTGTGACCTGGACCCTCCCTTCTCAGAATCCCACTCAGAATCCTGGCTCTACCACTTACCAGGTATGTGACCTTGGGTGAGTTACTTAACATTTGTAAGCCACAGCTTCCTTATTTGGTTAGTAATAGTTAATAATTCCTCTTATTTCATAGAGCCCTGATGATTAAATTAAAGCACACTTCCAAGAACATAGTAAGGGCTCAACAGATACAAGCTGCTATCATTTATTATTATTATAATTATTATTATTATTTTACCCTTGCCCCCTATGTTCTATCCATGCAGAATTATTTATAGTCCTCTAAACAAGCCCTGGTCTCTCACACGTCCCTGCCTTTGCACATCTATTAGAACACAAGCTCCAGGAAGGCAAGGACTTTGTCCTCTTCACTGCTGGATCCCTAGCACTTAGAACAGTGCCTGACACATAACAGGTGTCAAGTAAACATAGGTTATGGAATGCATGCTGTCTGCTTTGCCTGTAGTGCCCTTCCCCAACCCTGCAACTCATTCTTCATGATTAAGGTCACATGTCCCCTCCTCTGGTAAGTCCTCCTGAACTCCTCCCATTCTGGCAGGGCCAAGTGTGCTCCCATTAACAGCTCTGAGTACTCCTCTATTAAAGAATTGATCACTTGTATCAAAACTCTGATCTCCTTGAGGCTTGAAGTCACCTACATCCATATCCTGGGACAGAGTAGACAGTCATTACATGCTGAATGAATGAATGAAGAACAAACAAACAAATAATGCACACAGGTACTACGTGGTGACCAATAAAGATGTGCTAGTTGTGATTATTTATGTCTTGGGACATCCGTGAGTCACTTCTGGTCTTCCTCCTTCCAGATATTGAATGGCTAAATCTGTAGCCCCAAATCCCAGAGTATATAGGCTCAATCTTTCTCTCTTTGTGCACTCACTCCCTTGAATTCCCTGTGGGGAGATGGGCAAGAGGGCTTTTTCAACATACTTAAATTCCCACTGTTACTCATAATAAGAGTTTGGGAGTTTTACCCACTTACTGAGATTTTCTTTCTTAGGTGTAGACATTTAGGATGTTTAGAATTTGGGGTGTTGACGTGTGGCTCTCTCCCACAATTTCAGAGGCTCTTGCACTGCCAACACTAACTCCCAGCCGTTCTTGGTCCCTACTTGCTGCTATACCTGAGTAACCGCATGCCTGCCGTGGCTCCCAGGTAAACAGGTGTATCTCGGTGCTGGGACTGTGGAATCACATGCCTGGCTCTTTCCATGCATGCAGTCAGATAAATGCCTATTTCAGTTAACTTTTGAGCATATTTTGAGATTCCAGGACCTAGGGAAAGATGTAGAAGCAGATGACAATATTTTTTAAAAGTATAGGACATATCTTGACAATATTAGAGCAAAATATTGGTGTTTTCTGAGAAAATCCAAGAAGACAATTTCTTGGTGTGATATATATTAGGTTGTTGCACTCAGAGGATAACTCACTGAACCCAGCCTTGGCAGGACTTTGCAGACCTTTGGCTGGGTCTGTCTGCTGTTCAATAATTTTGCCACTGGATGGTGCAATTTTCACATTCAATTGCATAACCTTCCTAACTTGTTCTCAGATTTTAATGGGAATCTTGTAGATAGCTACCCTATAAAGCTGCTTTTTGATGTTTCTTCCACAAAGTTGCAATTAACAACACTAATTCCTAGAAGACCTTAAAGGAGAAATACGACATTTAAAACAAAAATTAAAATAAGCACCAGGCACATTGGCTTTTACTTGAAAGATAGAAACTGATGCTAACTAGCTATGTGATCATGGCCAGTCCCCTAAAATTTCTGAAGCAGAGTTTCTTCCTTTGTTAGAAGAAACAGGAATAGACCCAGGTCTCCTCAGCAATTTTTCCACTCTGATACCCTGCCTCCCTAGTAAAATTGTTTTTCCAGTTTTAGAGCAAAACTAAGTGTTGCTATGGAGAGGATTAGAGCCAAGATTCTTTAAGCTTTTTGAAGTTAACACTTAACAATTTCAGCTCACTTTAAGATGTACATCTATACTGTCAGTGCTATTTATAGTGAGGATTTGGTTTAAAGATAATTATCCAAATATGTTATCCATATCATTCACAGGGTTTTAAACAGCCTGTTTACTTAACCATAAAGAGAAAATCAGCTCTAATTTATCAGCTAACTGTTTTGATTCAGAAAGTCTGGCCTTTAAGAACTGGTGGCTTTAAACTGACCTTTTACCTGAATATTTGATTAGGGAACTCTCTCTTTGGAGAGGGGAAAATGACTGCATTGGTTAGGACAAACACACGGGGTGAGTCTCAGAAGATGGATATCTGCTAGATTAAAACAACAACAACACCACTTTTAAAAATAGAAGGCAGTGAATTAAATAGAAGCCAACAGAATGAGGGATTTGGGATTTAAGAAATGCTTGAAGTCTCAGAATTGATGGGGCCAAAGTCTAAGGACATCAGGCTACTGGGCAGAATGATTTGCTCTCTTGGAAACATCTTCTCACAATTGCTTTTTTGACAAACTATGAAAACTACTGGACCCCACAGGTCACCAAACTAAAAGAAAATTATCTTCTGGGTTCTAGGTTACCCGTCTGAGTAAAAGTAAACAGTGGGTCCCTGGCTCAAAAGGCCAAGAGAGATAAAGGTCAGAGAGATGATGGGGCAGTGTGGTAACACTGGGTGCATGCTGGGGTGCTGGATGGGAGGAAGTGGAAAGAGCCGAACTGTCAACAACTCTAACGTGTTTTGTGACCTTAAAAGAAAACTAACCAGGAAAAAAAACCAATATGTAATGCAGCGATTCAGAGTAGCAGGAAGCCTGGAATGCAGTTAGGAGACCTAGATTCTTGTCCTGGTTCTATTGCTACTTACAAGTCACTAGTCTTTCAGGTTTTTGCTTCCTTCCCTGTTAAACAAGATTTAAATGAGCCACAAGGTTCTTTTTCAGCCCTAAGAGTCTATGATTTGGCCTTCCCTGCCTAGGTTCCATAGAATTGCTGCTCTTATGTCCTCTAATCTACAGCTTGGAAGAAATTTTTGAAAGCCTTAGCTAGCTATGGACCAGCAGCATCAACATTACCTGGGAACTTGTTAGAAATGCAAATTCTGAGGCCTCATCCCAGACCTAGTACACGAGAAACTCTGGGGGTGAGGCCTACCATCAGTGCCTTAACAAACCCTTCAGGTGGCTCTGAAGCAGATTCAAATTTGAGAACCGCTGGCTAAGACACGGTTTGAAGTTAGGAAGATCTCCATTTGAACCCCAGTTCCATCACTTACTAGCTTAAGCAACCTTAAACAAGTGGTATAACTTCTCTCAACGTCAGTGCTCTCATTTTTAAAAATGCGAATAATAATACATACCTGAAAGAGAGATTGTGTAGATGAAATAATGCATTTTCAGAACTTAGTTGGTGCATGGCACATGAAAGTGTCCTGTTGATGGGAGTTACTATTACTCAATTATTTTTAAACTTGCTTATTCTTCAAGGGCTTTATCATTAAGAATTGATTTCAATAGTATTTTTATAATGATAATAAAACAACAACAATAGCAGCTCCACTCTGTTCTTCACTTGATTTCCTTTTTCTCGTGTGTTCCACTTGCCATACACTTCTCATGTTCTCATGCCCCACTGTCTCCCTTTCCCTTTTCTTCATCTTACCTTTTACCTTGCACTCTTCTATCTGATGCACCACCCCTGTGTCATTCTCCTTTTCTGCTGGCCACTTATAGATGTACAAACTTGTGTGAGAAGAACCCGCATCCAGCACAATCCCATACTGAGGACAAAACAAACCAAGAAGTTATCAGCATTACATTATTCTTCTCAATATTCAGCTTGCAACAGAAAAAAGGCAAAGACAGGAGTTTTCAAAAACATGAGGAGAAATTACTTTAATTCAAGAGGAACACAGGCGAGGGGGGATGTCTGCCTGCCGTTGTCCTGATCACAAGATCTACCAGGACACTAACCCCTCTAGAACAGAGGCTCTCAATGCTGGTTGCACATTAGATATCCAGGCCTTACCTGGGGTGGGGACCGAGCATTAGTATCATTTAGAAGCTTCTCAGGTGATTCTAATGTGCAGCCAAGATTCAGTACCATGTGTTGAAATAGCTGAGACAATATGGAGGAAATAGAAAGCCATTAATCCAGTAGTTCCCAAACTTATATGCACATCGGAATCATGAGAATCACCTGGAGAGCATCCAAGTCTACTGATGCTGTGTCTCTTCCCTCAGACATGTGATTTAATGTGGCCTGGGCTTTGGAAGAGAGAGATGGAAAATACTAAGTGTGTTTGCTTTTTAATTACAAAAAAACTGTAAATTGTATTCAGTAAAATTTAAAAGATGTATACTTTAACTTCATATTTTGAGCTCTTAAGAGTAGGGGGAGACGAAAGGAAGAATAAAGGAAGAAAGAATGTAGGGGGAGAGGAAAAAAGACAGCATGAGGAAGAACTAAATGGTCAGAGGAGAATACGAGAAGAACAAAGTCACCACCTCACATTTCATGAGTACATGAAATGTACCAGGCAGGTGTTGTATGAAGCATTTTATAGGAATTATCTGACTTAACCCTCAGAACAGTGCTGTAAAGGAGGTACTATTTTTATCCCCTCTTATACAGAGGGGACAAAAAACTATATAAGTACCTTATATAGTTTTCTTCTATATGATGAAAAACTAAAGTACAAAGAGGTTAAGTAATTTACTCAAGATACACAGGTAACAGGTGACAAAGCCTGGATTCGGACCAGAGTCAGACTCAAGACCTCGTGCTCCTTATACAGAGAAATATAGGAGCAAGAGCTGGACAATAGTTTTCAAATTGGTGCTGCCCTTTTAATGAGAGATAACTATAACTAAGTGTGCAAATCTTAGGTGTGCATCACAATGAATTTTTGCATATGTGCACATCTGTATAAACCGCCATCAAGAGCAACAGAACAGTTTCTAGTCCCCAGAGGCTTCCTGGTGCCCTCTCAGTTTCCCCCATGGGTAACCACTGTCTTGACTTCTATCACCATGGATGAGTTTTGCCTGTTTTTGAACTGCAGTAAATGGACTGACATAGTGTGCCTCCTTTATGTCTAACTTTTTTCACTCTACACTAGCTCTAAGATGCATTCAAACTGAATGTATCAGTAGTTCATCCTTTTTCATTGCTGTAGAATGTTTCATTATATGCATATACTATATCTTTATCCATTCTACTGTTGATGGGCATTTGGATTGTTTCCAGTTTGGGACTATTGGGAATATAGCTGCCAGAAACATTCTTGTACCTGTCATTTTGTGGACATGAGCTCTCTCATTTCTTTGGGGTATTTACCCAGGAACAGACATGAATGCCCATTTTGATCAATTGTTATTCATCTTTGGTTACATCCCTGGGTTTAATCAGGGGAAAAAAATGCCACAATTGAATAACAAAGTCTGCCACGGGCTTGTGAGGAGAGCATCATGGCAGATGTACTTTTCATTTATCATCCCTGTACCAGAGAGAAACATGGAGGAAAAAAACAGGGAAGGAAAGGAAGAGAAGCAGAGGAGGTGCTTCTGAGAGTAGTCAACTACTCTCCTCACACTTTGCTGCTCATTTGAGCTGTGGACCACAAAGTGTGGTCTGCCATTGATAATGCTTAATTCAGTAGTTGTTTTATATATATCCCCTCATATTGTCTTATCACATGGTAAGAACCTAAGAACCTCCAGGGAGAAAAGAAGACAGGAATGAGGATTCAAGAGACCTTTCTGGACCACTGGGAATAGCTAAAAGTAGAGCCTCTTGAGGTATCAAGCTTTATTCCATTTCACCACAGACCAGAGAGGATCCCTGTGTGGGTGTGTGAGGATCCTTGACCCTCCACAGTGTTCTCTGCCTTGTTAGACACAGCAGGGTTCCCTGTGGTAATTAGCATTATGCCCTTATAAAGAAAAGGGCCTGTATACTTGCTTTGGGCACGGCAAGGAAGCAAGCTGAACAGACTCCTCTGCAGCTGGGTTTGCAGTGAGAGGAAACCAAGAATTGGCTTAAAGTGGTGACCCTTGTGGGCAAAGAAGGATCTGACTGAGGTTGGGGGCCTTTGGACCCGTGGGAAACCTCCCAGGGTAGAGAAAGAGGCTCAGGGATTACACAGCAGAAAATTCTGTTGTTCCCTAGCAGGGCCCCAGAATTCTTCCTGCCAGAAAATGTTCCAACCACAGCAGCATATGATAAAAGCTAGTGAGGCAGCAGCAACAAGCAGCCTTTATCTGGAATCAGGACGTTCTATTCTGTCTGACACTGTTGACGTGAAAGTCACTCTTCCAATAGAGCAGAGGAACCAGGCTTCCTTCTATCAGCCTATTTCCCAAAGTGTGGTGGTTGAAATGAAAGATTTTACTACATTTGGTTTGGCAAGTGTTTGAGAAGCGGGTAGAGGGTACTTTAACACGGGAATTGAGGACATTTCATCTTGTGTATACAGCAGACTGGAATGCTAACCTGTTGAATTGTGCCAAATGTTTTTTGTCTTTTAAAATGGTTTGCAGAATAAAAAACTGGCATCACTTGCTGCTTGAGGGACAGATAAAGCTTAATTGTCTAAAAATTCTCGGTTTGAGCATTTTGGGAATTTGCCTTTTGTTGTTATAAAACTGTCAGCATATTCACTCATTTTTCATAGCTGGCCCATTGTAGAGCTAGAAGTTCATTCCATCTAATCTTCTCACCTAATAGATGAGAAACTGTGTCCAGAACAGTTCAAGGACTTGCCTAATGGGTACGGATAGTTAATGCCTTAACAGATCCAGAGCCCAAGTAGTCGCCACCTTTTTTGTTCTCTTGCACCACAGCAGCATGTCCCAATGCATGTTCCAGAGAGTGCTAAGTCCCCGAGGATCTGGGTGAATAAACCTTCCCAGAATTTTGGGGAATGCTGTGTGCTCGCTCCCTCTCCTGGGCTCAAGAACCCACTAGGTAGTGAATGCTTCAGAAAAGTCTGACAGTGGAGAAACCCACTTAACTTTGTTGAGCCAGCATCCCCCAGACTCTGCGACAACAAAATTCTGTTATAAATAAAATCTCTACCCTACAGAAATGCTTTGAGAAATGCTGTGCCTTGCCATGCTATCGTGCTTACCCAATGTTTCTCTGTAACTCATATTTAAAACATTTCAAAAAGCATGCCCTTCACATTAAAGAAAAATCAAAGATTTGGGTGGTGAGAAAGAGATCTGACATTCTCTTAATATTATAATTTCAATTACAATTCAATTTCAAATATTTCAATTTCAATTATAATTTCAATATTACTTTCTATTTTAAGAGTACTAAAAATTTATCAAATAGCATCTAGAAAATTAAGGGAAAAGGAAAAAAAATTTAAGATTCTACCAACTAGACATCACTGTTATTTTGATTTATTTCCTTCCAGTATTTTTTAAATGCATAATTTTTATATAGTTGTAATCTTACTGTGCCTTTAGTTTTGTCTGTAGTTTTGATCATACATATGATTTTAGTGATCATAACTGATCTTCTTGTGCTGTGTTGAGTGAACAGAAGCAGTGATCTAGAAAAAGGAACAGCAGAAATGACCTTGCTTGGTTCATGGAGACACCAATGTGGGGGCCTTGGTGTAGACCTGACGATGTGGATGGCAACAGACCCTGAGCTCACAGAGACTCAGGCCATGTGGTGGTGGGATAGATCCCTCCCTAGGATGAAAATAATTCTACCTGCACAAATGTCATAGGTCCAGCCTTCTGGGTAAGTCTTCCTAGATGTGGAAAGAAAGAGAAAACTGGAGTGTCAGATAATGTACTTCTATTCCTGGCTCTACAGAAGTGGGATGTTCAACCCTCACCTCTGAGTCTTCTCATTCAGAAAACCCCCAGCCTCACACTGGCCTGCTCTCACTTCTCCCATGGGCCACATGGCTTCTGTTCCAGAGCCCTTGCCCAGGAAACCATTTACCTGAGATCCCAGCCTTCTCTGACCTTCTGAGACTCAATTCTACCCTCCTAATCTATGTCTCAGAGTGCTTGTATTTTTCCTCTAGAGACAGCACTTACCACAAGGTGTAATTACCTATTTATGTGGCTATTTGATTCATGTCTGTCTTCCCTATTAGATTGTAAGCTACATTAGGGCAGGTCTGTTCTGCTTACTATGGTATATCCAGCATCCACCATGGCATATCCTACTATATGTTAGGCACAAAGCAGGAAGTCGGCAGACAATTGTTGAATCAAATGAATGAATGAGAGGGGTTAGAACTATATGGTTCCTAAACTACTTCCAGTCTAAAAAGAGGTTAATATTCACAGTCTAATACAAAGTTGTGTCATTGGGGTCAAGTTCCACCACCACTACCATTCTCCTAAAAAAACCCCATAAGCCAGGTAACATGGGCAACAGTGTGATAATTAATTTCTCTTGCTCCCTTCAGACATATTGGTTCTGAATCTTTCTTAAAAGCTCCTGTAGCTTTAACTTCAGTAACCTCATCAGTCTGTCTCAGTGAGTCCTTTTGAATAAACAAAGCTTATCCTTTTGAATGTGACTCTAGCATTCTTTAACCAATCAGGTCTCCATTAGCTACAGTGATGCTGACAGGGCCTGTAAACAATTAGAGACCATTTTTTTCCTTTCTTTTTTCTTTAATTGGAGTTACTAGACCTTTAAAATACAAACTACAGTTTTGTTTTTTTCATTTTTTTAAATTGTGGTAAAATACATAGACCATAACATTGACCATTTTAACCATTTTTAAGTATACAGTTCTGT